GATTTGAGTCTCTGCATCAACTTGAGTCCGTGTTGTGAAATGCCACAAAAAGTTTTGTGGATTCTCACCTTATTTGCAACTGGATGTCGTACATATTACATATGTAGTGTTTTAGAGCTGCTGCATAACACAGCCATGGTTTAATGGAGATCTTCATGCTGTTGAACCTAACCTAGAGATGCATACTTCCATGTACTACAGGCTTGCCTTTCATTCAGAGAGGTGTGCAGCTTAAAGGGCTTCTGCCTGGACGTGCAAACAGAAAGCTCCTGCTATTCAAATTTACATAGGACTATTTACACAGCTCTTACATGACATATCACCTCTTAATGTTTTCAGTCATAACCTGCTCAGTGACTTTCAGTCTCCAGCAATCATCAACAGTAAAATGGTAAACCTTGTAGGGAAATGAAGGCTATTTAAAGAAGTCACAGAGTGCATATAGCCTTCACTGTGATAGTGTGGAAGTGACAGTTGACTGCAAATGCAGACAACTTCTGAGTGTTCATACTTCGTTTACTGCTAGTCAGATGTTCTAACTGTCCCTTTTTCCATGTCTCTCTCAGCGCTGTGTTGAGTTGTAATGATTCAGGGACCAGGCAGCTGGTTAATGCAGCTCATGTTGTCACCCTCATGGGGCTCATTTGCCTACAGGCATGTCAGAAAGAACAAGTAATATCAGGGCATACATAACTGTATTTGGCGGTGTACTGAAAAGATGCTGAAGCTTGCTTTAAATGAATAGTGTAGGACATCAGGAGGTAAGTAGCAGAGAAATTAGATAAATTTGCTTGAATGGAGTGTTGTGTTTCTGTAGTTAGGCTGTGCCCAGTTCTCGATCTAAATGAGGTATGTCTACATGGTGTGCAGTGTAGACATCCCCTGTGTGCTATTTGTTCCTAACACTGTCTTGCACATTTTCAGTATCCAGCACAGTTCACATCACCTGCTTAAGCCTGATGGGAGGGAATAAAGAAGACTGAGCCAGACTGTCCTTGCTGGGCTTAATGGCATAGGATGTTACAATGACCTGCTCTCTGTGTTCAGGAATTTGAAGGGTTGGGGTTATTTTTTCCCCTCAAACCTTTAGGGTTTAGGTACACAAGTCTGTAGAGTGATTGATATCATGTTAGCTGGTGTTCTGGTCTTACACTGTGTGCCTGCACAAGCCTGTGCCCTGCTTCATGCTGGCAAGGCAAGAGCAAACAACATATACTTTGTGTTGGTGCAGTCTAGGTTTGGCTTAGCTGTTGGGGATCACACTGCAGAGCAGTGAGAGGCATAAGCGTGTTCTGTCTCTCCATTCTGGATTCTGACTGTTGACTGAATGCGTGTCCTTGGGTTTGCTAATTGTCTTTCCTAATTCTTTTATTGCATCAGGCACTACAGGTTTTCTGAGCACCTCACACCAGCATGCAGCAGACTGTGTTGTAAGGGAAGTGTAAGAGACAGCCACACACAAAAAGTCTTACAATCTCTTGTGATGATCTGGTGTGATCGTCTGTTCAGATATTCCAAGGAACTGTATGGAAAAGTTTTTCCATGACTAGGTTTTCACTGAAGGGAGTAAGGAGAATCATGGTTACTAGTGAATTTGGACTGTGTTTTCCATCTGTGTTCTGTGGGGAGGAAATGCTGGAGAGTTTAAAGCTATTGACTGGCAGAGGAGCAGTGCTAGTGTGCAACCTTGCTGCCACCCAATATAATATGGTTTCCAGTTTGGATCAATTCCAGCTGTCAGACCCCAATTTACTACCTATGTCAGGAAGGACATGAGTTTTCTTATAGAAGGTCAGTATCATTTAAGGTTATTGAAATTAAGGAAACCTGTTCTGCCTTTATAAAGAAAACATGGCTGTGGTGTTCTTAGGAGCCACATGGTTATAATGAATAATGAATGTATGGTACTTTGTGTAGTGTTTAGCTCAGCCTGAGAAGGAGAAAATAATGGAAGTCTCTTCTTTCTGCCTGTGTGTTCAAACGAAGGAAAATCAAAGCTGTTATACCAGAGCTATATATCAGCTAACATATTTTAGGAACTGTGGAATGATCATAATTACAAAAAAGTCCTCCAGAGAGAAATTATGACTCATAGTTTATGTTCTCTTCAGTGTTGCTATGGAAAAAGAGGTTAGTGCCAATGGTCATACAGCAGTATTAATCTCTGATCTGAAAGAAAAATAAATAGCAATCTCTAGCTTAACCCAAAGCAGATTTATTCTCAGTTACTGGAGCACACTCCATTAAAGGGGATAACCATGTAAGAAAAATTAAAGATGACATTGATTATCAGTTCTCAACATGGAGTTAGAGTTCCTTATTTGAATTAGTGTGCACTTCAGACTCCTGCAAATGACTTGGTGGAGTGAGAGGAAGGGAAGAAAGGCGTTTTGATCAAAGGGAGGGCAGGAAATATCAGCCGCCACTGACAGCTGCAAGTATGCTGATTAGAATTTCTTTATGCATGCGGTTAGACTCAGCCTGGGGTTGATCCTGGTTCAAACACAGCTCCTGAAGCAGAACCCTGGCAAGGGTCAGTGTAAAGCGGTGGAAAGTGGCTATCAGCCTTTTTCTGTTAATTTGGGACAGCAAGGGCTGTGAGTCAGACAGCAGTGGATACTTGGGTGCTGAGTCAGCACCCTCTGGGCTGCTCTGGCATTTGTTTCCTGCCAGTTGTTTAGTTGCCTAGGCAAAACTCTAACCAGGACTGGGGCCAGACAGCTGTGTGCTTGCTTTGTTCGGAGTGGACGATCTGTTTCTCTGCATGCAAGAAGACTATCTGATACTGCTTGACACTCAGGGTAAACGCGTGCATCTTAGTGGGTCACAGGAAAACTGTTCTGCCTGCATACCTGACTCTGTTTTCAGGAGTTGGAGGTATGCCTTCTCCTTTGTTACTAACAGCAAACACTTGAACTCAGAACTTAGCTTGAGATTTTACTCACAGTGCACCCCAGAAAGGAGGCTATAGCTTTCCTTTCTGCCACCCTGTTCTGCCGTGCTGAAGGCAGTAAGTCTTTTTATTCTGTTGACAAGCTAAGCAGATTGGACTGGAGAGATACACAGATCTCATGTCCTGCAGCTGTGCACACAGCTCTCACTGGTGGTCACAGGAGTTGTACATGTGGCCCAAAGCCTTGTATGGCTGAGAGAGTCCTTTGAACCAGCTGAAAGCTTTTCATTGACTTTCAGGATTGGAATGGTACTTTGGTGAACAGTTTGCCCTCTATCCAATTGCCATTACTTCATTAATTTCTCCAAGTTTACCTTTTTTAAGTGTGTGACTAAAGTCATCAGCTGCACAACTGTTTGGCATTACAGCCTATAACAACAAATGGGTTTCCTTGTATCAGTGTAAAGGGCAAACAGGTATATTTTACCTTCTGATCCTTTTCTTCTTCCCTTTCTTCTTTTTAATTATCAATGTGCTTCAGTCAGGCCTATATGGGGGCTTTCACTGTACCCTTATTAGACAGTGATATGTTTCAGAAAGCCCTTATCTGTGTCTTTTCACAGAGAAGCTGGCTCAGGGATTAGCACATGGGGGTCAACGTGATGCTGTGTGCCCTTTTCCCCTAAAAGGGTACAGAAATGTCAGCTGGTTTTCTGGCATTGAAAGTGGAAGTATCAGCAGCCACCAAGTGCTGCTGGTTTAAATATTTATACCATCAGGACTTTATCACACCTTCTTTCTTTGTGCAGAGCTCCCGCTGATTCCAGTGGAGATAAAACTCTGAATCCCTGCAGCAGCCAACAGGTTGGGTCTTCTAAGGAGCGATGGTATGAGTGGAGCGTGCAGGCAGGTGCTGTACTCACGTTATCGTGTCAAGAAGAGTAAACAAGCTGTTTTTTTAACCAGTAATTATGTAGACAAACCTGTCAGCACAAGCATGGAATACCCCTGCATATGCTTGACATCTGCCAGCCTGACAAGATCCAGGCACATGCTTCAGATACTTGAAAGAATACAGTGCTGCTGGTGCTGCAGTCTGTCTCCTCCCTCAAACACTAAGTTTTGCAAGACTAATGTTTCTAGCCAGGACTCAAGAATGGAAGGAGAGGGGAAGAAGCAGCTTGGGGGACTTCTCAAGGTCCTTCCAGCTTCTTCTCTGGTTTGTAAGATAGCACAAAAGCAGACGTTCATGAGTTAACATCTTTTTTCTCTTGGAAAGCATGCTTTCTTATGTTTGTTAGAATTACAGGCACTCACACCCTTGTAAATGTTATGATCATGATGGAGAAAAAATGTAATTCTAGCCCTTCAACTGATGGTGGTGTGTGTAGTGTATCCTGAAGTGGGTATTTGAATTAATTCTCACAGAGGCTCAGTATCTGCATTTCCAGTGTTTTTTCTGGGTAGCACTCTAATGCTCTTACAACACTGCGCATGGGATTCATTTCAGCATCTCTAAAACTGGGTAAAGCATGGCCAAGGGTATTGTTTGAATTAAAGCTTAGCAGGACAAACAAACCAGGCCTATCTAAAAGCAAAATGTAAACATGATGCTGGGGTTCCTGGTTAGCACTTGGTGGCTGTGGGAAGTTGACAGCTGTTACATAAAGGTTAAACATGCATTCTTTGGTCTGTCAGTAAAATTAAGCCTGCTATAGACTTTGTGGCACTCTAGAAGATGTGAGTTTATCTGTGTGCATAAACAGAATATACACTTCAGTATAAATATGCTTTTGGGGACTATTTAAAGTATTAGAAGCATGCTGCAGTCTAATAAAAAATGCAGATGGAACTAGCAGATTTGGAAAGTGCCTGACTACATTCAGACAGGTTAGAGAGCTGACAAGCGTCTGGAAAGCAAAGCACTGGTGTTTGTGGTGGTAAAGAACAGCAGAGAATGAGAAAGAAAATAGTACATGTACAGGAGATGATGAGGGAGAAAATGGTATAGGTACAACAGGGACATGAACTGAAGTAATAAATGCTTGACCTTTAAATTTCATCTTCACCAGCTTCTCAGACTGCTTACTCCAAAGACTGACGTGGCTGTTTTATGTTATGCTTTTATTTGTCATAGTTGTAGTTAGTTACAAGTAAAAATGATGGAAATCCATTGTAGTTAATACAAAATATAGCTGCACAAGTTATGCCATGATTTCTCTCACAAACAGTATCACCTATATGATACCACACACTTAAGAGCTTAACTCTTAATAGTTCTTACCTACACTAAGCTCTTAGTGGCTAAGTTCCAGTGTGATTTACTGGTTACAGATATTAACCCTGTGGAGTAATACCTGCTAATCATTTCATAATGGTATTGTTGCTGTAGTTTTTATTTCCCCTGTAATTTGTGATTCTAAATGCTAGTTGAATGAAGCAGCCTCTTAGTGCAATGTTAAGTATCAGTAGAGTTTTATATGTATATAAAAAATAAAAAATAATCCACTGCATAAACAACCAAGGATGTAAGGTAACTGTTGTAGGTATTGTGCTTCCCTTTCCTCCTTTTCCCCCTTACCTTTTGTTAAGTGACAGGAATGAACATTCATAGCAAAAAAGCTACCCCGTAACCTCTCATTTTCAATTAATTCTGAAAAATGACAGACTTGTAATTCTGAGAGCAGGTAGGTGGCTTTGATGAAAGTTATTAGCAGAGAATCAAATCCTGTGGCTTTGCAGACTCATCCTTATGTAAACTCATCCCTGCCATGAAGTTCAGTCTGTAACACATTGTTCCCTTTAGACATGCCTAAGTGAGTGTTTCACCTTTTGGAAAAAATTGTCCTTACATCCCTGTAATTATCTAACTCTTCTCTGTAAATATAGCTCTATATAGGAAATAATTTGTAAAAAGATAAATTATGCTATTTTCAAAATACTCTGAGATATGAAGTTGTGCATGTGCAAAGTTTGATAGTATATCGCTATAAAGACTAAGAATTAGTGTTATCTGAGTATATATTCTTTAAGCTAGGTGTATAGATTTAATATTGTGGGGTGTTTCTTTTTTGCTTTTTATACATTTCATAGCATCACATGCTTTCTTCCGACTATCTCCATATTTCCATCAAATCCCTTTGATTGATATTTTTCCTTTTCAATTTCTGATCCCGTAGAGGTACAGTAACCGATCATACATTCATGCTTGTCACTAGCGTACTTCCGTAACTCTGGTAGATTGAAAAACAACTTTTGATTTCCACCTAAACACAGTCATTTCTTCTAAGTGAAATAGCAAGAGACTACTGGTAAAAACCTTTCCCCTACTGAAATGGATGGAACCAACTTCTCGGCTTCTAAGCACTCTGCTCTTTTAGTCTTACAGCATCATGGAGCAAAGCCCCAAACAAACTATACGTGTATGCACGGTTACTGAGGCTGTTTGTATTCATGGAGTATAGCAAGGAAACCGAAATCAAATGTCCTCATTGGTATTTCTACATTCACATGCAAAACTACTCACAGTGCTGTAAAATACTTAGAAAGAAGAAAACCAGAAATGTTTGGGTTTTGTCTACTCTCCACGCATTCCTCTGACCTAACTATAAGAAAGCCAGCTGACCAGCTTGCTTCTACTACACATACTCTTTTCCTGCCAGTCTCTTACACCAGCTGGCAGCATCTCTAACTTAATAAACACCAGTGATTTGGCCTAAAACAGAGCATGTTGCAGCCTCAGCCTATGTCATAGACCTTGTTCACTCTGCATTCCAAAACAATGCAATAATTACCACTGCAGAGAAAAGGATGGAAGAAACTGAATTGCTACTATCGCCTGTGTAGCAGAAACCAGTTACTCGCCTAAGTAAAACCATGTGTATCTGGAAGGAGAAAGAAGGCTCAGATTGACTATGCTGTTTGGTCTATCTGCAAGACAGCTGCTTGGGTCGTTTCTTCATCAGATTGTTCCATTTCTGCGCCAACTGGGTTGTTTCTTTCATCATAGAGTTTCTGGCTAGAAACTTGTAGAGGCACCCCATACTCTTCATCATCTTCAACAATGGACAGCTCGATGTTGTTGTTCATCATGGTGGCATTCCCTTCCATTCTTGCTTCCTTCTCCAGAGTATCAGCTACTGCTTTGCCCTCCTCGGTCAGTGAAGTGGTAGGGGTCATATCTGAGTGCATGCTGGTGAATGACACTTCATCCTCATTCTCAGCTTGGTCATTGCTTGCAGTTTCTGTTGGTCTGTCCTCAGCTTCAGCAGAGCTTTCTCCTTCACGGACTTTCTTCACGTTGAACATGAGGGGTGATACTTTGAAACCTGAACTCTTTGAAGAAGAGGACTTTTGGTGATGTACAGTAAGCGACTTCTTGATCTTTTCTCTCCGTTCAGGGGAGACGATCTTTGTGCTGATCTTGTTCATCTTCTTCTCGATGTTTTGGCGAGAAAATGCTTTCTTGAGGCTGTCTACCTTCTTAAGGCTGGATCTTTTAAGTTTCTCAGCTCTTGATTCTTCTGTTTTCTCCTCTGCACTGTCATCCAAATCATCTTCCTCGTGAAACATTTCATCATCTGAGTGCAACTCCACTGTTTGCAAGGTTTCTTCCAGTGTTTTGTTCTCATCCACAGGTTCTTCTTTTCCTTCTGTAATGCTGGGAACAGGCTCTTTTGCAAAAACACTGGCAGGGATCTCATTTTCCTCCTGAAAGAATTGACAATATTTGAGTTTCATAGTTCACAGGACACTAAATTAATAAGCAAAGCACAACCCTCAACAATTACCCCACACACCCTAATGAGATGAAGACTGCTGAACGTTTCTTCTTGTCTCAGTATATTTAACCGGTAACAAACCACTCAAAGCCCACTGAACCATTATCTCGTAAAGTTAAAGACTAATGAGCGCTGAGCTGTGAGATTTCTCTTTCAGAGTGAGTTGGAATGTGTACAGAATGGGAATCCTGTTCCTTGTCATTTAAGTTAGTTATTCTTTAATACAAGTTTAGATGTGAAGTTTGCGCACCCATCCCTGGGGAAGAGGAAGACGTGGCTAAGGAGGTTGTACTGCAGACCCTACATAGACCTACAGAAGTCATGTAACCCCACAGCTTTCAACTTCTCTAGCCAAAGACTGGGAATATCTCTGCAGAGATGTTAGTTGTATCTAACAGGTACCTTATATGCAAATGCAGTTAGCACTTTCATTGCATTTCAGCAAAATGTATGTTGCTGTTAAAAACAGATTATTGATACTGAGAAGCCATGCAGTCCATGATGTTTAGACTATGTGCTATTTTACAGCTATTTACAGGGAAAAAAAGTAAATCTGGTTGTTTAATATTAAAAATATGGGCAGAACTCCTTGAAGAAGATGTTTATGGCACACAAAAATAAACAGATATTATACCACATAGAAAACACTCGTAGTCACTTCTAGCTAACACGAAAATGTTTGCTTTTTAGAAGCAAAACCAAGAAAGGGCATGGAAAGAGAGAAGGGGTCTGAAAACAAACCAGGCTGAATGAGGGCAGAAGCTGCAACTGGTAATGAAGGACCTCTGTGGCTGAAACTCTGCAACCCTGAGCAGTTCAGAGGCAGCACAATGAACACACTGTTCTGTGGTAGGATTTGCAGGCATCTGCCCTGCAAAGAAAATGAGACTCCTCGCATGCTCCCTTTTCCTCTTAGAATTGTTACGCCTTAGGTCTGCACTCTCAGAGTGCATGCAGTATCACTTAGCTGCATGGATTGGAAGGATTTTCTCACCTACCCCCTTCCCATTTATCTTTAGATGCGAAAAGCAGTAAGTTCTGAGTGAAATGGTTGTAATAGTCTCACATCTGTCCCTAGTGGCCCTGAGTGTACAGTTAAGGGGAAGAAAGGCCACATACACTTCGTAGCTCATGCTCATTATTTCAGGACTGAGCATGCAGTTGTGATCACTGGAGAGAACAGTGTCTTGGGTTAAATTTGCTGTTGACACTCTGTAAGAATGCTTTTAGAAACAAAATAGTCCTGGCTACCTTGTAGTGCTTCTGGAACTCAGGAATATGCATGTGGCCAGGCAGAATCATTTTATATCATACATACACAGTATATAATCATATACACTGTGATTTAAGTGTATTGATGAGTATCTCTCATAAAATGAAAAGTATGGATGGCAATTTGGCAGTTTTACAGTTTGTATGTGCTTTACTTTTATGGTTTCTGCACAGCTTCCTGGACTAGCAGCCTCAGCCACAATCACTGGCAAAGACAAAGCTTTTCCAAGCCCTTTGCCTGCAGTGGAACCTCTAATAGAGCCATCCCTCCTCTCCCAGCACCTGTAACGTTATTGCAGCTATCAGCAACAATGACCAAGGTAGCAAAACAAAGGAAACCTGCACAAGCTTTAAGTGAAAGCAGCTGTAGCTGCAGTACAAATATTTATATTTTCTCTCCACTGCAGTTAATGAAATATGGATTACATGAGTGGGTGCAGTGTAAAATTATTCCCCAGAGCATGACAACTCAGCATGAAGCATAATTACGTGTCTTGTGCATTCTTTCCAAACCTACGTAATCACATACAGTTTTAAACAGCTAAACATTCAGGTGTAAGTGTCTGAATGGCATAGAGAACTCCGATTTTAATGAGTAAACATGGATTGTAGCTTTTAAAGTATTTAATCTAGGAAAGTGGTGTTGTATGAGATGTATCACAGTGCAGCCTAAGCCAGAGATGGACCTGCGTGGCTCTTCTCAAAGTCAGTTTAGCTCTGTGTCTGCAGTATTCACATTAAACCAAAGTACTGCATGCAGTCTCTAGAAGAATATGGACATAGATCTTATTTCTGTTTTTATCAGATTTGCGGCTCAGTAGAAAGGAGACTGTCAAGCGATCCATATTCATAGAGAAAACAAATGAAGGTATACTACATAATAATGAGCTAATGATTCAATTAAAAGCAGTTTCTAGGTAGTCTTTAGCTATCAGTCAGTCAAGAAATCACTTCTGTAAGCCTCCTGCATGGCCCTGGAAAACATAAGTCTCTGGGCATCTCTTGTAAAATGTGAACGACATGCTCTCCTATCTCATATTTCTAAGAGACCTTAGGATTACAGATACTATTAAAATGCAAATGAAAATAAATTAAGTGTTGTGGAAATACAAAGGTGTTACAGTAGGAACGCTGTGATGGCACAGATATTTCTATTTCAAATGTGGTTACTGATAACATATTCTAAGTGGGATATTGGTAACTTTTTGGTCTAACAAGTTTATATGACAGCTATGTTTTGTTTCGATGCATTTTTCAAGCAGTCTGATATTTCATTTAGGAAGACTAGAACAATACACTGAAAAATGCCAGCTGTTACAAACTGCATAACTATTTTCTGAGCCAAAAAAAAGTAGAACTTTGATCTTTTCTTCTTGATCTAACCTAAAATTCTGAGAAAGAAATACATCTTTTTATTTTCCACATCTGAGTTCAAAAACAGCACTTGCATTTTCTCAGATCAGCTTGACTATAGGTAGCTACCTCCTCTGAATTTAATTTGTCCATGTAGGAGACAAATAGAATGGTTCAATTCTTTGTGTAAAACAAGTCTTGCTAATACTAGTAATACCAGCAGAGTTAAAATCAGTGCCTTCCCTGTGGCTTTGATCAGTCATTCTCTGGAGCTTTCTATAGGTCATAATCTCAGCCCTATCTTTTACCAGGGAAGAAGATAAGATCCATAATGGCGCACTACAAAACTGAGTGAGCAGGTAGTTAATTTATTCAGGAGGGCTGCATTTCTGATGCTGCATAAGGGCAATTGGTGTGCTTTGGTTTTGATTTTTGTTGGATTTGTGAGAGGCCATGGCCTTCAAAAAACCAAGATGGCATTTCCCAATGCTTACAGCGGTCTAGGCACCTCTGCACTTTGTAGATGCTGTTATATGCCTATGTAATTGCTGGTCTAAAACTTGTTTTGCTACATAAAATAGCTAAAAAGATGACAAATCCTTCTAAAAACAGCAATATTTCCACCTACTTTCCTTTGGACAGGCTCTTCAGACCTGGATGCCACCACAGGAAGGGACGAGGGCAGGGAGCAGGCTGGGGCTGTGGTCAAAGAGGGGGAACTTGCTAGGTGCCTATTTGTACATCCTGTACATGCTGGGCATGGGCTGTACTGTCACCTTGACCTCCTTCAGCACATCTGGATTGAGTCCTAAGAGCCATGCAAGGTATTTTTGTCATTAATCAATATAAGAATACTCTCCCTGCAAGGCCCTAGTGGGACATTTAGCAGTGAGATGATAGCAATACCAGCCCATAATTCTTCTGCTTCCCTCACTTGTGCATTTCTGAGTTTGAAGTTGCTTATTTGAAAGATTAGTACCATGACCCAAACAACAAGATGCAATCAAGTAGCTGCTTTTCTATGCCCTTCTCCTGCTTCCTTTCAGTTTGAAGCATTTACCACGAGCAGCATGTGAAAGGGACTGAAGTATCAGTGTGCTTGACCCCAAGCTATAATTTTGACTTATTTATCTGTCCTATTTACCAGTAAATATGAGATTTTAATTTTCAAATTAATCATGACCCTTTTTTTATCTTGTGTTTTGCAGCTAAACAAAAAAAGGCAAACAAAACCCCCACCAAACCAGAACCAAAAAGCTGGTCACATGGTGGGAACAAAATAGAGGGGAACAATGCCAAAGCTTAACAAGGATTTTTAAAACAGTCACTTCAGTGTTTTGCTGAATTGCTGTGTCACTTGTGGCATCTGTAATAACTTTTGCATCCCCAAATGCTGGGAACGGAGCGCCCTTAAAATATGTCACCAATTAAATAAATCTATGCAAAATAGGAACAATGCAGACAGTTTAGGGGAGAGAAAACTAAGTGCATTTTAATGGCAAATATGTAAATAGGTGACCTTTTCTCAACGCAGTTCATTCTCAGTGTGTACGCTGAGGGAAAGCTGATGCTGGCGAGCAGCAACATAGCTTCATAAAACGCAGAGCTGGAGCTCAGTCATGTGTTTTGGTTACGCTCAGAGCCCCCACCAAGAATCAGAGAGTATGAAGTATATGATAAACGCAGAACTGAATCACAAATGTGTATTTTTGTTTTCATGCCAAGCTTCCTAAGCTGGAAAAACGGGTTCTAATGAGAAAAACGCAGTGTGAAGTTTGGGATTGGTTTGGGGATTTTTTTTCAGTGGGAAAGAAACCCCAGCTAAAGTCTCCTACATCCAGATTTCCTTTTTGTTTTTATAGAAATCTGGCATCAGAACAGCTTCATTGTTGAGACTTATCCTTCCTGCAATTGTTTTTCCATGGATTCCTGTTCAGGGCAGGAGAGAAACCCAGCCAGCCTTCTGCTTTTCCCTCTGTATCCTAGTTATCCAAGCAAGGCAGTGGCCCTGTTTGCTACTAGATCATCCCACCTCCAGCTTGTAAGAGACCCCACAGGGCGATGCCATGGAGGTGGGAACACAGGTAAGGTGCCAGCCTGTGCTGGCAACAGACATGTGGGCATGGCCTGGCAAGCACCCACCATCCCTCCGGGTGCGGCTGCTTCCCCAATGGAAAATCCCAGCTCCTCCCATGCCCTGGGAAGCTCTTCTGGCCACCCGGGTTTTCCAGCCAGCAGCAGGGCAGTGCCAGTAGCAATTCCCAGTTGACAGCTGATTTTTTAACTGAATTTAACTGAAGTGTTTATTTTCCAAGGCTTGTGTTCCTGATCTCCATCAGTTTGGGATCAGTTATGCTCATCTCCGCACAGCATGGCAATGTATTTTCCGATGAGAGACAGGAACAAAGTCAACTAAATCCTTGTAAAAGCAACGAAGGACCTGCTGTCCGAAGGTACCAGCCTGGTGATTGATGGTGGAGCAGCAGTGGATTTTCTTTAGCTGTTGTTCTGGGACACAGACCTGTGTAATTTACTTTAGGTTTGTGAAGTTATGACTCAGTATTTAGGACTCCAAGGAAAGGCTTGTAAGTTTAAATAGGCCTTAGCTCTGCAATACTGTTCAGTGTCAGGAAGCAAGCAAAGCCATCCCTCCCCTGTCAGGACACTGCTTGCTTTACCCTCCAAACTCTTCTTGGTGACCTTTACTGTTACTTCATCCAGTGCCTGCGAATTACGTCCACTGGGCAGCGGCAATGGGGATCCCTAACTGAGGTAACAAGGCCTTCTTCACTGCACACATACAGCTGTGGTTTTGGCTTCACACTCCACATTATGTCATTTTAAAAGGCTCAAATATTAGTTCTGTGGAGGAAGATGCTGTAGTTGCAATGGCAAGGCCTTAATTCTCATGCTTGGAGGTACCGTAAATGCAATAGAATTGCCTTCCCCCAGGCCACGCTGATGCACTCTCCCCATGGGAAGTGTTCAAGGTCTAGGTCTGAACCTGGAGGTGGAGCCAGCTAGCAGGGCCTGGGAGATGGCAGTGTCTGACTTACAGTAATGGATCATACAGTCCTTGCAGAAGTACAGCGAACATGTGTCTTTTAGTTTACCCAGTCCCTGGAATAATTTCCACATTCCTTCTGGGGTGGAAACTACCACGCTCGGTACATGCCACAGCCCCTCCTCTTCTGGCTTGGTAAGCCAGGACTGCAGTTCGGGAGAACAATAAGCAGGAGGTGGGGGCTTCCTTTCTGAGGGAAGCGCTTCTGCACTAACCAGGCCTGCCAGCTTTGAAAATCAGGCACTGCTCTGTTGTTCTGGGGTTGTTTAAATAGACGTAACATGCAACAACACAAGGAAGGGAGCTAGCGACTGACAGATACAGCACCCAGCCAACAAGTTTAGTGTGACTAGGTGGTGACATGCCTGAGCTGGGGCTACTCCAGCCCTGCATTTGTTTTCCTTTCTTCCCTCAGGGTGTTGTGTAGGTCTGGCTTTTCCTTTTCTCTTTGTCAAAGATGTGAAAGTCACATCCTGTGTTTAGTTAAAGCTCACGCCATTCCTTAAAAAGGGGAAAATATGCAAACTGCTGCTATCACTGGGTGGAAACCCAGGAAGCTGAGTTTTTAGCTGGATTTTTAGCTCATCCCTGAATGGGCCACAACAGCTTGAAGAAGAAAGCAGGATGTGAGGCTGAGTGTGACAGGGAACTGCAGCACTGCCCCTCTCCTCATCCTGAGGGCAGATGCAGTGGCAGTTCTTAGGGGCACTGGGAAAAGTTATGTGCTCTTGTCTCAAGTTTGCCAATTAAAGGGAAAAAAGGCCGTTTCTTAACGTTTACTTAAAAACCCCAAACCCCACAACAAAACAGTTCCTTCCCACGTATTCTAAGAGTTAGTAAAAGATGGCTCTTTCCCCAGATTTGTTGAGAATAAAAGGTGGCGTTTTTCCCAAGTTTACTACAAGTTAGGAAAACAATCTCTCTTTCCTCAGGTCCAATAACAGATAGTAGAAGACAGCTTTCTCCAAGTTTGCCAAGAGTTAAAAGGCTCTTTCACAAAGTTTGCAAAAAGATAACTGAGAAAGGTCTTTCCCTCCCCCAAATCCCCGAGAGTTAGCAAAAAAGACAGTTCATTCCCCAGGTTCAGTAGGAGTTAGCAAAACAGGCTTTCCCCCTGAGTTTGCTAAAAGTGCGTGTTTCTCCTGAACTTGCTGAGAATTAAAGCAGACTCTTTCGTAAAGTTTGCCAAGATTAAAAGAATTTCTCCATAGTTAGGAAGAAGACAGCTCTTTTGCAAAGCTTAGGAAGAAGACAGCTCTTTTGCCAAGCTTAAGAGTTAGTAAGAAGTCAGCTCTTTCCCCAGGTTTGCCCAGAACGAAAAGCAACTCTTTCCTCTTTCCCTAAGCGTGCTAGGAGTTAGCAGCAGTGGTCTTTTCCGATGTGGCCGGGGGGCTGTGTCTCACCTGGAAGATGAGCACCTTGAAGCGGTCCCGCCGGAGGAGCTGTGCGTGATGCTGCTCCAGGCGCCGCACCTGATCGCACTGCCTCTCCAGCCGCTCCCGCACGGCGCGGGTATGAGCGCACACCTTCCGCGACTTCTCCAGCAGCTTCTCCACCGCTTCCCCTGTCGCCCCGTGGCTGCGGCACAGTTTCCCCAGGTCTCCCTGAATACCCCGCACCGCCCCTTCCAAACCCCGCTGCCTCTGCTCCATCTGCCGCTGCTGCCCTTCCACCGCTTCCAGCATCGACACCAGCTTCTCCAGCAAGGCCAGCACGGTCAGGGCATTCACTTGCCCCCCGACCGCCTCCGACGGCGGTAGCGGAGGCACCGCGCTGCCTCCCGCTGCTTCCCCCATCTTCGCCCCGGGATGGGACGGCCAAAACCGCTGCCGCTCTTAAGGGCTGCGCCTTCCCCTCCCCTGGGGAGGTTTCGGGCAGAGCCCGGCCCCGATCCCGGCCCGCCCCGGGCGGTCTCCGGGATCGGGGCCGGGCTCCCGGTGCCTCCCCGCATCCCGTCCCTCCCGTGTATTTGAACAGCAAAGGGGGGGGGGGGGGGATTCTCGCCCCACACTTGGCAAAATGCAGTCTTCTCGCAAGCATCAGTAGATGGCAGGAGATACCGCGGAATGAGGTTGCTGGAGGAGGAGTTGGGATTGGTGGTGCTGATGGTCCGGGGAGTTCTTCGGAGTTTAAAGCCTGTCTCGTTGAATCGGAAGGAGTTTAATAATAATGAAATTTTTTTTAAAAAAGTAGTTACTGTATAAAACATAGCGATTATGATAATAAATTAACATTAACGAGCCAAAGAATGCTGATATCTTAGCATAATATTACCATAGTTGTGGTTATAAAATATTAATATAATTATAGGCATATATAATTTCAGTACTTAAAAGGGGCTTATAAGAAAGATGGGGAGAGGGCATGTTGCAACAGGATGAGGAGTGGTGGGTTTAAACTGAAAGAGGGGAGATTCAGGCTGGATGTGAGGAAGAAATTCTTTACTATCAGGGTGGTAAAATCCTGGCACAGGTTGCCCAGAGAGGTGGTGGATGCACCATCCTGGATACATTCAAGCCAGGCTGGATGTGGTTCTGGGCAACCTGGTCTAGTTGGAGATATCCCTGCTCATTGTAGGGGGGTTGGACTGGATAAGGTTTGAAGGTCCCTCCCAATCCAAACTGTTCTATGATTCTGTAATGATTGTAATAATAATTTGCACACTTATATTCACATGTGGTGAAACGAATCTCCAGGCTCTCCTTTCACCAACTAAGCACCCCATGCAACACCAGACTGCTGGGGTTTTAATAATAATAATTTAATTCCTCCTCCTCCTTATTATTATTACTATTATTATTTCAGATTAGAGCTATTCTATTCTTATTAAAATTTTAAAAAAGAACAAACAACCAACAAACCCAACAAACAGCAAACCCCAAAGCCCAGTCCGGTGTTGCATGGGGTGCTTGCTTTTTGGATGGAGTGCCAGGAGATTTTCACTGCCTGTGGTGTGGAGTTCAGGTAGGCATTCTGGTTGCCCAGACTGGGTTCTCTATAGTGTTCCATAGACTCATAGACTGGTTTGGGTTAGAAGGGACCCCAAAGCTCATTCAGTTCAACTCCATGGGCAGGGACACCTTCCACTAGACCAGGTTGCTCCAAGCCCCGTCCAACCTGACTTTGGCACTGCCAGGGATGGAACAGCCACAGCTTCTCTTCTTTGGTGAAAAATCATAGGGTCAGAATGTCTGTTTTGGGGGAATAGGGATGAATTGGGTGTGGTGGCGGAGAGGCAGTGTTCTCAAGCTATTGCAAAGCTTGGCATGAAGAAATGAGAAGCTGTTCATTTAGAATAATACATAACTGTTCCCAGGTCTGATCCAGAGCTGTTACCATCAGGGAAAATATTACAGAATTTCGCAGACTTGGGTTGTTCATCTGTGTACTGACATTCCCAAGCACAGCCAGTTTCTTTTTATCTTCTGTTCTTGATGTTTGCCTGGTAACAGGAATTCTTGCTGAAACACAGATGTTTCTAATACGTGAGTATATCGAATTCTAACACTTGGGTAGCTGAAATATATTATTTCCTAATGCTTGGGTATATATAATTCCTCCATGATTTTCCTGCAATCCTGTAGATTAAAAACATGTATTTGGAGTCCAAATAGCTGTGATCCTCACCCTTTTTTTTTGCTGTACAAAATCATTCAATCATTTTACCATGAAAAGGAATAAAAACTAATGACTGAAAAACAATGCAGATGTGTTAGCCGTGCCAAGCTCTGCATGTTTGAGCCCCTGAATGTTCTGCAATATTACTGGTTTTGGTCCTTTTTTTTTTTTTTCAGGCTACAATTTCTATTCCTCAAGTTGTGGGAGCTTGTAAAATGCATTTGGTGAGTGCGTTCACTTAGGAAAAGAACAAAAATCACTGAGTCTGCCAGAGTTGTCAACAAGGAAAGTATGCCAAGACTGTGAAATATGCAGGCTCAGAAAGGAGTGGATGTATTTTAAAGGAGCAAACTAAACAAACCCTTTCTGTTTCCAAGGGCTCTCCCCAGCAGCACTACCTGATACGCCCTTCCTATGACATTCTTGTTTCCAGAGGGCTGCTGGTGTCCGCCCCTCTTGCTTCCTTGTTCTCTCCCTTGGTTTTGGCTGGGACCTTGCAACCTGGGCAAGGAGTTTAAACCGGTCACAGTTTATAGCAGAAGCAGCTCATGCTGCTGTGTGTGTATGTGAGATGCTGGCCTTGGCCATAGTGGTGAAGGGGAGAGATCAATTTATTCCACATTAATTTTTCTTCACATTTGAGGAGCTGTGGCAAAGCCCTGGCCTGGCCATGGTCCTGGCTGCTGGACAAGCTGGCTCTCCATCCTATCTCTAGTTGCATTTTGGAGCCTGTCTCCCCAAGCCTTTCCGCATCAATGTATATATGGCACATATACATAATGGAGGAGATAGGTAAGCTGTCTTTTTAATCTAAGTAAACACTCTCCTGACTCCTGTTATGAGCCTTCTCCAAAGGTGCTGCAAGTCTTGGAGTGTTTAAAACTCCCATCCCTGTGCATCCTAGGGAAAGGCTGGACTACCCCATGGCAGCCAGCACAAAATCCAAAGTACGGTTTCCCTGTTAGTCCCTCCACCTGGCAAAGCCAAGGCAGCAACAGCAGTGTTGATGTGGCTGCAAGGCCCATCAGCACCCACTGCAAAGGTTTCCTTGCGGTCCCAAAGGCTCAGGAGGTGCGTGTTGTCCCTGTGCTCCCTCTGTGACTGGGGTTACAGCCCAGAGGCAATGCCATAGGGAAAGGAGCACAGATGAGACCAGGAATAAGATGGCCCCAAACTGGTACCTCTCCCAACCCACTGCTAAATTCCAGCTGTGGATTTTGACACCAGCTGTCAGCTCTGATTACCTGTCCTGTTTGTAACAATAATGTAATGCTGGTGGAGCCGCCAGCGCTTGGAGGAATCTGAGACCTTTTATGCAGGTTTGGCTGTTATTAGCTTCTATTCATTAGTTCGGCAGGGTATCAGAGGAGCATTTTTGCCAAGTTCAGTGCTGGTTTTACCAGTGAGAAACTTTCTAAAGGAAAACATTTTACGTTTATTTAGAAAGAAGCAGCATTAAAGAGATTAGCTTTATCAGGGTTATCCGATATAAGTCAAGAGTTCTTTTCATGTAAAATCAATGTGCGTGAATTATATGGACAGAAATTGAAGGTTAACTCATTCATTAGTCACATGGTGCTCAGGATAAGAAATGTTTGATGCTGCAGCATTACTCATAATTTATTAGGCATGGAGTAATAGGTAAAACAATATGACAGGAAAGGAAGGAGAGGGGAATTAATAAGGGAAAGAAGAACGGCAGGGACCATACAGGTCATCCTCAGCTTATTGGATTTCATGACCAAGCTCCCACTGACTTTAAAGATGTGGCGTGAGGCCATCTAACTGTGCAAATGCAGCTAGGTAAAGAGCTGGTTAATGAGAATAGCATAGGAGGAGAGCCCAGGAAGGGAAGGCAGGTGCCTTGAGGGGCTGATGTCTGTTCCAGGGGGACAAAGGAGAAGAAATAATAGGCATGAGATGGGAAGAAGTGATGCTGCCACCACTGGCACCAGGACCTTGTATCTGCATCCAGCAAGTGAAGGCTCTTGATTGCCTCTTGCTGGAGGGTTACTCTGAGGGCTAGTTCTGGGTCACAGTAACCTTTCCATTCTGCTGGTCTGCTCCTTTTGCCACAGTGATGTTTGTCATACCATCAGAACCTCTGCCTTGCAGCTGGGATGGTTTGAAACCAGCCAAAAGCTTCTGGGGAAGCAGAGGCTGGACTACCTGATTTGTTAAACATGTGTGGTAAGTTTTGTGTTGTTGGGCAGTGAGGCTAGAAATGCTGATGGGATTTGTCCCAGCAGAAGGTAGTCCTCCCCCTTGGCCATAGACTGCTCCTTCCACTGACACATCACAGGGAAATTAGTCCATCAATCCTTAGTGTTGCCTTTTGATGTTTTATTAAAACAAAACTTTATGTCTGTTATGAGCCAGTCTCACTGGCAGCACCCAATTTGTGGTGTGCTGTAAAAATGTTAGAGAAGAAAGATAATGGATTAGAGAAACAGTGACTGATTTACTGTGTTGTCTTTGGCACTGAGCAGTCGGTTTGGACATATGTTACTAAACCCAACCCTGGCTGATAGATGCGATTAAGTGCAATGGATTATGGAGAGCCTCTCCTTTACCAGTAGTTACTAGTACATTTCGAGAAGGTATCAGCATCTCAGATGTGATGTAATGTTTTGTGTATATGAGCAAGCACTGGGCTGAGGAGGAGAAATCTTTTACTACTTCATCAGGATGAGGGAGACAATGCAGGAGATTGCACACAGCGTGGTGGGTACACAGAATATTTAGCATGAGGTGAGCAACTGGAAACCCACCACCTGTGTACAAGGTGGATTGGGATCTGTGCAGCGTGAAGGCTCTTGGGGAGGGGGGAAGCTGGTGGATAGGGATCTGAAGAGGAAGGATACATCATCAGCATCCTCAGTGCACTGGCAGCATGACCCTTTGGGAAGTGGCTGTGGGTGAGGCAGTGGCTGGAGGATGCTGCAGGCAGAGACCATCCTCTCCTGCCGCACAGTTCCTGAGGGGAGCGGGGCATCATACTCACCTGCAAGGCTTTGCTTGTCCCAGTGGCCATCCAGCCTGCTCCCTGAAGCCTGCTCCCACAGGGCCTGGCTCCTAGCTGGCAACTCCCTGCAAATATGGGTAACTGGCTTTGGAGAGCTAATATGTGAGAGTGGGAAATTTGGAGAGTCACTGCTGGGAGTAATTTTAATATTTGGGGGAAGAGCGAGATGAGACAGTCTGATGGGAAATGTATCATCATAGAAGAGC